CACTACCCATCTCTGCGATCATCACCCACTTACCATGTACTACCAATCACTGTGATCATCACCCACCTACCATGCACTATCCATCTCTGCGATCATCGCTCCCCTGTCATGTACTACCATTCACTGCGATCATCACTCACCTACTATGTACTACCAATCGCTGCGATCATCACCCACCTACCATGTACTACCAATCACTGTGATCATCACCCACCTACTATGTACTACCAATCACTGTGATCATCACCCACTTACCATGCACTATCCATCTCTGCGATCATCACCCACCTACCATGTACTACCAATCACTGCGATCATCACTCCCCTGCCATGTACTACCAATCACTACGATCATCACCCACCTGCTATGTACTACCAATCACTGCGATCATCACCCACCTAACATTTACTACCAATCACTGTGATCATCACCCACTTACCATGCACTATCCATCTCTGCGATCATCACCCACCTACCATGCACTATCCATCTCTGCGATCATCACCCACCTACCATGTAATACCAATCACTGCGATCATCACCCACCTACCATGCACTACCAATCACTGCGATCATCACTCCCCTGCCATGTACTACCAATCACTGCGATCATCACCCCACCTGCTATGTACTACCAATCACTGCGATCATCACCCACCTAACATTTACTACCAATCACTGCAATCATCACCCGCCTACCATGTACTACCAATCTCTGCGATCATCACCCACCTACCATGTACTACCAATCGCTGCGGTTATCATGCACCTGTCACGCCCTGTCCATCACTGAAATCATCACCCACCTACCACATCCTGTCCTTCTCTACAGTCACCCACCTACTATATACTGCCCATTGCCGTGATCATCATCCACCTACCACATTCTGCTTATCTCTGTGATCATCACCCATCTTCTATCCATCTTTGCGATCATTGCGCACCCACCATCTCCTGTTGACCTCAGTAATCATTGCCCAACTACCACATTCTGCCCGTCTGTGATCATCACCAGCTTACCACTTTTTGCTTATCTCTGCAATTAGCACTTACCACATCCTACTTATCTCTGTGATCATAACCCACCTCACCTACCACTTTCTGCCCATCTTTCAACATTTTGAATGATTGTGATTTCTGGTGAATCCTGTATAATGAATGTTTTGTGCCCTCAGTGTGCCCCTCAGCAAGGTGGTGTCATAGCATCTGCCTATGTGACCCAGAAACAGCCATTCTGATTGGTGGGGAAGGAGCCAATGAGAAGCTGTGCCAGGACTCGCTGTGGAAACTGGAAATCGGTAAAAGCATAGAATGTATTTTTATGATTTTTCATATTTCTGTGGGCCAATGAAGAGCATGGACTGGTGAAGAACCGTTTTTTTCCGATTCTGTCTTTGCCTTTCAGACAACGACTTCTGGTTCCAGATGGATAACTGCCTTGGCACTTCCCCTCAGTGCTCCCGGGGCCATTCTGCCACCTTTGACCCCGAGACCAAGAAGATGTATGTGTACGGCGGCATGTGGGAGGGTCGCTGGTTCAGCAATGTCTATGTGCTGGATACCGTGGAGTGGAAATGGACACTGCTTATTGTAAGTATCGTGATTGAGCGCAAACTATATGAAATCCATTGTCCAAAGTCCATATTTATTGTCCTTGTTTTGGGTTTGTGTCTTTTGTCTTTCCCAGGCAGTGGGGAAGGTGCCAACACTCAGCTATCACAGTGCCACCATCTACCAGCGGGAGTTGTATGTTTTCGGAGGTCTGTGTCCCCAGGCAGGATCCGATTCTGGGAGCTGCACCAATGCACTTTATATCTTCAACCCAGAATACAAGATCTGGTACCAGCCCATTGTGGAGGGGTCACGCCCGGTACCAAGATACGGGTGAGGTGTGTGTGTATGTAATGTGGTGTGTGTGTGTATGTATGTATATTTTGTATATTTTATTTATATATATATATATATATATATGTATGTATATTTTTTATATATGTATGTATGTATATTTTTTATATATTTTTATATATTTAATATATAGATATAGGGAGAGGGACCTTCACCCACCAGCTTCTTTATTAGGTACCACGTGTTCAATTGTTTGGTAACACAAATTGCTAATAAGCGAATCACATGGGGAAGAAACGGAGGCTACAATTCGCACAGGCTCACCAAGATTGGACAAAACGTTACTGGTCTGATGAGTCTGGATTTCAGCTGCAACATTCAGATGGTAGGGTCAGAATTTGGCATAAACAACATGAAAGCATGGATCCATCCTGCCTTGTATCAACGGTTCAGGTTGGTGTTATGGTGTGGGGGATATTTTCTTGGCACACTTGGAGCTCCTTAGTGAGAATTGAGCATTGTTTAAAATCCACGGGCTACCTGCATTTCTACAAATGGAGTTGGAGATTTGGTCAGGATCAATGGTGTCCTCAATGCTGAGAAATACAGGCAGGTACTTATCCATCATGCCATACCATCAGGGAGGAGGATGATTGGCCCCAAATTTATTCTGCAACAGGACAATGACCCCCAATCATACAGCCAATGTCATTAAGAACTATCTTCAATGTAAAGAATAACAAGGAGTCCTGGAAGTGATAGTTTGGCCCCCACAGAGCCCTGATCTCGACATCATGGAGTCTTTCTGGGATTACATGAAGAGACAGAAGGATGTGAGGCAGCCTACATCCACAGGAGATCTGTGGTTAGTTCTCCATCTCTAGATGTTTGGAACAACCTACCAGCCAGGTTCCTTCAAAAACCATTTGCAAGTCTTCCTAGAATTGATGCTGTTTTGAAGGCAAAGGGTGGTCACCCCAAATACTGATTTGATTTGGATTTCTCTTCTGTTCATTAATTTTCCATTTTGTTAATTGATAAAGATAAACTAAGAACACTTCTATTTCTGAAATCATTTTTAATTTACAGCATTTTTTTACACCTGCATAAGTCTTTTTGCAGAATATTGTATATATAATCCACATTCTGTCTACATATTTTCCAGGTTGTGGCCCTGCTGAGACTTTTAGTTCTTTAGCCAGTTCTCTGTTCTCACTTCTTGTCTCTCTATGGCAGTCACAGTGCAACACTCCTCGGGAATCGTCTGATGATATTTGGTGGCAGACGCGCTCCGACTCCTATCTACCTGAACGATTTGTACATCTTGGATCTGGGTGAGTCCACATCCTGCGCACACTTTATCTGTTGGCCCTGCAGTTTGCACTCTACCCACAATGCATTGTTCTGTAGGTTACATGGAGTTTACAACAGTGTTCTTTCCATCCTCGGCGGAGAGGCCACCTCCACGCTGGTGAGATGGCAACCCCCAGTGTTGTGTGCACTCTATCCACTAATAACTGTAGACTTCACAGAGCACATAATGAACGATGTCTGTTAGAATGGTCTGGGATGTTTTCCTTCTCTGTCCCTGCTTCTGTGTGCTGTATTTGGTTAGTGTCACCCCTACATCTTCTCTACAGTTTCCATGCTGCAATGCAGGTGATGGATTACAAGCTCTTGGTCCACGGAGGCTGCTCTGCATCTGGAGCCCTGAAAGATGCCTTTATCTTTAACCTGGGTGAGTTCATTCAATGTAATGTCACCTCTGATGGGTCAGGGAAGGTCTCATGGCTTTTAATTGTAAATAAGGTTTTTTTTTTTAAATAAAAAAATTTTAAAGTAATTTTTCATAGCAGTATCCATGTATGGGGAGAGTTCCTGTCCCCACTATATGAAATGTCACCAGAACAGGGAGTGAAGCAGGGGTGGAAGGATGAAATCTAATGTCAAATCTGAAGGTGGGAGCAGGCTCTGTCTACCCACCCCCCCCCCCCCCCGATGGTGGATAGAGGTGAAAAGGGAGGAAGTTGTGGGGGTCTAAGCTCTCCCTGGATGGTGGGTAGATGTGGAGGAGCAGGATCTGGACTCAGAGGGACATATTTAGTTTGCAAGTTGTTCTATTTTGGGGTAACACCATTGCTGTTCTTTCAGATAATATGTCTTGGAGCTCCATCAAGTTTGGGATGAGCACCCAGCTTCCCCGTGCAGGCCACTCCATACTGAACCTAACTTCCTCCCACCTGACAGACTCTGACAAAGAAAAGCGTGGAGGACGGAGCCTGTGCAGGGTTCTCATTATAGGTGGATCTGACGGCTGCGGCAACTTTTACAGTGACACCCCCAAGTTTCAGCTGGATCTTAGTGCCTGAAGACTTTTGTGTATTTATTATAATGCTGTAACTGCCTGCTGTCATGGGGTACTGTGTCTTTATTGATCAGGGATTCTGCACAGAATCCCTGTGCAGAAACTGTCAGTATGTGTTGTCCTTTCCCGGCTTAGGAGGTATTTGTTGTAATGTTTTGTGCTAGAGAGGGGGTATTTATTGTGTTGTCCTGTCATCCTGGGATAAGAGGGTATTGTGTCGCCCCGGGATAGAGGGTATTGTGTCGCCCCGGGATAGAGGGTATTGTGTCGCCCCGGGATAGAGGGTATTGTGTCGCCCCGGGATAGAGGGTATTGTGTCGCCCCGGGATAGAGGGTATTGTGTCGCCCCGGGATAGAGGGTATTGTGTCGCCCCGGGATAGAGGGTATTGTGTCGCCCTGTCGCCCCGGGATAGAGGGTATTTATTCTGTTGTCCTGTCCCAGGTAAGGGGTAAATGTTGTCCTGTCATGGGGTAAGGGTAATTATTGTCCTGTTGTGTGCTGCCCAGTCCATATATAAAAAGAATGCAGTGATGTTGTGGCATTGTTCTCTCTGTAGTATAGTGTCCTACATAACCTGGTATATATACATATACACATGAAACCATGCTGTTGTCCATTCTGTTTATTGAATATAGTACAGAGGTCACAGTGTAAGGCTGAAGTGGTATCTTTTGGTCACATTAAGTCTCCTTTAAGATATTCTGAGGCCCCTTAATTGCAGTTGGGTGCTGAGAAGGGTGGGAGCTCTGGAGGATTGTCAAGAAGGGGTCCTCTCCTCCTAGAACTGTTAGGCTTTGAGCTCTGGAGGGGTATCGGGCTGCCGGGATGGGTGGCTGACCTGAAAGGTCTCCAGCTCCATCAGCGATTGGTTAATTCTGGAAATTGTAGGATATGGTGACATATCCACCTTAAACCTGTAGCAAAAAAGAAATTGTGTAAGCATATATGTTAGTTATTGTCCTGCCACAGATTCTCAGTGTGTGTGTTGGGGGGGGTATGTGTGTGTGTGTGTGTGTGTGTGTGTGTGTGTGTGTGTGTGACCCAGAAACAGCTGGGCATTAGTCTATTGTAAATTTCTGGGTGCTACCCAGATGTACAGAGTTGGGGGTGCAGGTTCTCAGCTCTCCCTGGATGAGGGAGATTGTACAGAGTGACTGGCACTAGAAGACCCAAGGTGTGGGGGAAGGAATTGATGTGGAAGGGTTTTGTTTCACAGAGACCATTCTATGTTGATTGTGGTTGGTACAGCCAGCCAGGTGTATACCGTATATAATCAGTACAGTCAGATGGATAGCATGTATGTGATTGGTACAGCTAGGTGTGTATATGGTCGGTATTGCCAGGTGTATGTGGTGCTCACCTGTCTGCATTGGCCACCTGCGGGACCAGACATAGATCAGCCATTGTCACCTGCAGGAAGATGACAGCTTGTTAGGGCTGGGCTCCAGATGAACAGCCTTCAGTTTGTCTTGAATTAGGGATTTAACAATTGGGAAAACAAGAACTAGTACTGAAAGGAACTTGTTCACACCATATTTGCATGAAAACTGATACGCAGATTTCACTTGCAGAGACACCAGTTTTCATACATCATTCAATGAGTTTTATATATCTTGCAGATTCCTGCGCAGTAAAAAAATCTGCACGTGATACTAGTGTTGTGGTGTAAACAGGGCCCATAGAGAACAATTGATTTTGTTGTGCCCTTACAGACCGCCTGCAGAAAAACTGATGTCTCAACAAGGCCTTAACCACTTCAAGCCCGGACACTTTTACCCCCTTCCTGTCCAGGCCAATTTTCAGCTTTCAGCGCTGTCACATTTTGACAATTGCGCAGTCATGCAACACTGTACCCATATTATTTTAGCATTTATTTTGAGACAGATAAAATTTTATTTTGGTGGTATTTATTCACCACTGGGATTTTTATTTTTTTTGCTATATAAATGAAAGTCCAAAAATTTTGAAAAGTGTTTTTCTTATAAATTTTGCAAATAAATAATCTATCTTTATAAATCTTGTCCAAAATGTATTCAGTTATCTTTTTAGTAAAAAAAAATATATATATATAACCCAAATTAGTGTGTAACTAAAAATGATAATTTTTTAAAAACATTTTTAAATTTTTAGATTTTGTTTTTTACATACTGTCACCCTAGCAGTACAGTGTCACCATAGTGACACTGTACTACTTGTGAGGGTGATGAAGATTTTTTTTTTTCAACACTGATTGCTTTTACACCCATAAAGGCTGTAAAAGCAATCCTTTCTCCTTCTCTCTGGCTGCATTCTTGCAGCCATTGGGAAATACTGTGTGAGCTGTGATTGGTCACAGCTTGTCACATGGTACAAAGCTGTTGTGAATAGCCTTGTACCATGTGACCTCTATGATAATTCACAGATTTCACAAGTAGTAAGCAATGTCGTCAGAAGTGACATCATTGCTTACTACTCTTCATGTGATCACACAGAGGTCGTCCCGTACAACGATTGGTGTTCCACTGTCCGGAGGGCCGGATGGGAAGTAATTAAACTGATAACTGTCCGTCCCTCTGCCCCGCCCCTGTACCTCATCTCCCACGCAGTACCGTCCGGCTGTTTCCTGCAGGAGCTGCTCCAGAGCTGTAAGTAGACAAGTGGCATTGAGTGAGTGTCCCCTCCATGGGACTAAAGCGCCCCCCTATTTTACAGACCCTCCATATGTCCTGAGGTGTGGTCTAATCTACAGTACGGCGTCCACAGTTTCTCACCTTGGAAGCCGCGTCTGATGAAATGCTGCGCCCATTCTTGGCTCCCTTCTCCCACTCTCTTCAGGACAGCCAGGTTCTGAGGGAACAAAAAAGACTGAGTCGTCCTGCTTTGGAGGGCTCTGATGCAGTTCTCACATCTGGTACCTACTGTACCTGCAGCGGCTGGATCCCAGATGTTATATGGTCACTGATTATCCGGCACCGCGCTCTCTGAACGGGGTCTCGTGGAAGCAGGGCTGGACTGGGTCGGGTCTCCTCCAGGTATTCGATGATTGCAAGCTAGTGGGGTGAATAATAATTTTTATTTTTGCCATTGTCACAGAGGAATTGAGAAAGCGGTGCGTTATACTGCTGTCTACAGGGGGTTTGGATACTGGCGGCTAGTCCCCATCAAACTCCTCCTCAACCCAGCATGCCCATGTTTTCTGCTAGTGTCCTAGGAAGATGGGTGGATGCCTTTTCTTTAGCTCTGATGAAAAATGTTTTGCTAGCCTTCTATCTTTGTGGTTTTTTTTTTTTCTCTGTGACTTCAGTCAAGAATCCAACATAGTTATTTGACCTCTACATAGTAACCATTGTGGACTGACATATGCTCAGCACTGGCTTTGGAGGCTATACCCTGATCCCACAGGGCTAGACATTGCAGGGCTGTAGTGATGTGGTATATTCCAGATCTGAATGCATTGTGTTAAGTTAGCTGCAGGGTGATTTCCTGGTCCACAGCCATGGCAAAGTCTCTAAAGACTCACTTAGTAAGACTGGTCTAGATGAAGGATTGGGAACTAGCTCGCCATTTGCACTGTTGGGTGCCTTTCCATCCCACTGCTGCTCCTGCAACACCACAAGGCCTCCAGTCCATTTTCACTGCCCGATAACAGTGACCTGGTCATCCCTGGCCACCCCAAACCCTCATCAGCACCATCTACCAAGTACTTGCCTCACATCGGGCCTATTTTTTTTTTTCTCCGCAGTGTGGCACAACATGTCTTCCCAAAGAGGCTCAGTGGACATTCCATCTACCACAGGTGGCCTCAGCCCATACTCCTTTTGTGGTATTAGGGGCATTTCTACTCAGAAGGAAGCTTTGATTGTGATCTAGAACCTGGACCCCTATATTTTAGGGTCATCCTTTACTGGAGCCTTCTGCAGCTCTGTCGAGCAGGGCTGAGGCCTCCCCCATGTCTGCAAGGACCTCCAAGTACCCTTTGGACTTTTTGTTTGAGTGTCATACACAGGGGTCCAGGGACAAGGGAGGCCAGTTGATAATGGGGGTATTGCTGTCTACTGTGTGTAATCAGAAGTCAACCGGGCATGCTGGCTGATTGTCAGAAGAACCCCAAGTCCCCAGGTCTGGAGACAGGTAACACCTGTAGAATAGCACACACACACTGATATTCCACAGGTCTGCAGTGAGTAGCTAGCCAGGGTGAGGACCTTGTTTGGTGGAGGATAAATGAGGGAAGAGCTTATTTTGAGCAGATAAAAACAGTTGAGATAGCTTCAGTGTTTCCCCGAAAATAAGAAGCGGTCTTATTTTGTTGGGCTCAAAAAAAAAAAAAAAAAAACAAAAAAAACCCCACAACACTAGGTCTTATTTTTGGGGTAGGTCTTATTTTTTTTGGTGTGGACAGGAGGTGCAGAGATGAGCTGCAGGCAGTAGTGGATGAGGGTTACTATAGAGAGAGCTGGTTGTGAGCTGCAGTCAGGTGTTGCAGAGGTGAATTGACAGGTGAGTGTCAGACAGGGTGCAGAGATGAGTCATGGCTGGGGGGTGCAGAGGCAAGCTGTGTATGACTGAGGGGGTGCAGAGGCGGCTTGCAACTTAGCTCACCTCTGCACCTCCACAACCCCCGCCCCCCAAGCTCACCTATGCACCCTGTCTGCAACTCACCTGTCGATTTACCTCTGAAACACCTGACTGCAGCTCACTTTTGCACATCCCCCCTCCACTGCCCTGGTTAGCTAGCTTAGCAAAACGCCCCTCTCTATAGTAACTCCCGTTTTGGGTCCTATCTTCCCACACAGTGCCCCAAGCGCGTTCACCGCTCCGCCTCTTCCCCACTGGCTGCCGATCACCCCTGGGGCATTGGCTTCCATGCCTTAGGCTGCAGGACGAGATGCCCCGCCCCTAAACACACTGCATACTGTGCCTGCAGATATCTGTTCCTTCCCTGTCCCACAGTAAGTACAGAGGTAGGGGGGTTCTGTGGGAGCAGATGGTGCTGTTACTTACAAGAGGGACTGTCGCTTGCAAATACAAAAAACCGCTCTTCTGTGTTTAAGAGACAGTAGATATTGGTGTGCATGGGGCCAGTGCCGGAGGTGGCGGAACAGCATCCGGGTCAAAAAAACAAAAAACAAATCACAACTAGGTCTTATACTTTATCAATTCCCAAAAATAGTGCTAGGTCTTATTTTTGGGGTAGGTCTTATTTTTGGGGAAACCGGGTATCATAGATTGCAATACCTCTCTCCACCAGTAGAGGGACTCAACCCAAATCTAGCTGGAAAGGAGAAATGACAGAAATAAACGTTACCGGTTGGGCGGGTTGGTTTATCCGGTTGGTGGGAAGCGAACTCGGAAAGTTCTTTAACATCCGTGTTCAGAGCACGTTTCCAGCCGAATACTAAAATTCTCTTGTCATGCTGCCTACTTTATTGGGGTATGATTGTGGTCTAGACCAGCCTCTCAGCCTATATAACAGGGAGGAACCCTTGAAATATCTTCTAGTAATAATAATACCCGATATCTGCAGCTCACTATACATCAGCATGATGACCACCTATGGAGAACGCCCCGTACATTTGTGGACATTGGGAAGAGTTCCCCCGGCAGCAGAAAAGATCGTGGCTGCTAATGGGTACTTATTTAGAAGATAGAAATTGCTCAAGGCACCCCTAATAATCTCTGGAAGAACCTTGGCTGAGAGGCTGGTCTAGGCGCTAACCCTTCAGCTAATAATTTCTGGGGGCATCCTCTAACCTGGGGGTCAGAAACCTCTTGATCGTGATCTTCCTTTCAATCGCAGGTGAGGGGTGGAGGGTGACCATGTCCCTGCTTTGCCGACCTGTGCTAGGTGCCGCTTCTCCTCCCTTCCCAACTCCACCACTTTCACGGCAGAGAGTAGGAGGCAGCACAGCTCAGGACGGGGGAGAGGACCGGGAGCTGCCCTAGTTAAGTGGTTGGTTGCTAGGACACAGGGCAGACCTAGCAACCCATCACCAGCTTGTTAATGTGAAAAGTTAACCCTGGTAGCTCCTGTCCTCTGTCCTGAGCTATGCTGCACACCTGAATAGGTAGGAACAGTGAAGGGGGTGTGTGTGCGTGCGGGGGGGGTTTGACGTGACTGAGGTCACTACTGTGGTGGGATGGACATTATTGGGGGTCAATACAGGTCAATACTGTGGTGGGATGGGGGGGGGGGGCACAGAGCACACTACTGTGGGGGGGGCAGAGGACACTACTATGGGGGGGGTTTGACGTGACTGAGGTCACTACTGTGGTGGGACGGGGACGGGGGGGGGGGGTGACTGAGGTCACCACTGTGGGCAGGAGGTGAGATAGAGGGGGGGCAGAGGACACTACCATGAGGGGTGGTGGTGTGAAAAGTAGGGAGAAGAGAACATTACTGTGGAGGGCAAAGGACATTATTGGGGGGGGGGTGTGTGTGACAGGTCAATACTGTGGTGGGATGGGGGGGGGCACAGAGCACACTACTGTGTGGGGGGGAGGTGAGATGGGGGCAGAGGACACTACTATGGGGGGGGGGGGGGGGGGTGTTGATGATAAGGGAGACAGAAGACACTACCGTGAGGGGTGATGTGAAAGTAGGGAGAAGAGAACACTACTGTGGAGGGCAAAGGACACTATTGGGGGGGATGATGTGACTGAGGTTACTACTGTGGGGGGGATCAGAGCACACTACTGTGGGGGGGAGGTGAGATGGGGGGGGGAGAGGACACTGAGATGGGGGGGGGGGGGGTTGATGAGAAGGGAGGCAGAGGACACTACCATGAGGGGTGATGTGAATGTAGGGCGAAGAGAACACTACTGTGGAGGGCAAAGGACATTATTGGGGGGGGGGTGATGTGAAAGGGGGCAAAGGACATCACCGTGATACGCTGTGGTCTTCAAGCCTTTGCTTTATAGGGGGCTTGATAGTTAAGGGGGCTTGATAGTTAAGGGCGCCCCCCCCCTTCCCCCCCCCCCCCCCCCCCCCCCCCCCCCCCCCCCCCCCCCCCCCCCCCCCCCCCCCCCGGGATCTTTCATCTCTTCCATGTTGTCCAGGTGGATCTGCACCTCTTAGAGGTCGCCTACCCCTGCTCTATCCTGCTGGGAGGGGAGGAGAGGTTCTGCGTTTTGAAGTGGCCAGAGATAACTTGGATCAGCTGGTTCTAGCGCCTGTGTCAGGGGTATGATTTCCGACACCAGCGCATCAGTCCGATCGCAAGTCCAATCGCTGGCATGGTTGTCGTGATCTGGCATGTAACTGATTTGTCGGTTTCTCTGGGATTCCATATTATTTTATATGTGCATATAGTTCACCCATTCATAGGTTTCACAAGTGACAGTGATTGCAGGGGAGAGGAACTCTCCATGAGTTGTCAGTCCTGATGCAGGAAAAAGTCTAGAACCGCTGAGCCGGGTTGGATTTATTCATTCTGAGGTTTCTCTCAGTAGCCCTTCTATGTATCAGATCTGCCTCACCAGACAGCTTGCATTCTCTGCCATAGATCCTTTACTCCACTCTATCACTGGTTGGATCCGCTGCCTCTGCCTGTCAGCCAGGAATCCTTTGGCAGTCTGGGGATCTCCTACTCACCGATTGGCTCAAGGTGACGCCATCGATCCTCAGCGCTGGAACTTGCAGCATGGGGTTCACCCGTTTGTATTCATCAGCCAGCTCGTGGAGAGAGAAGGGGGAGAGAATGATCATTAAATCTGTTGAACTACAATTCCCAGCATTCTCCAATAATCAAAGAAAACGTCTGTCTTTTCTCCACGTGGAAATGCTGAATGGTGCCTCCTCCTCCCCTTCATTCTACACATACAGGAGACCTACCTGTTGGCCGCCATCTTTGATAAGGTTGACAGGATGCTGATCGTACTCAATGCCTTTCAGGGCCAGAGCTGTAAACACAGAGACAGATTGGTAGAAGGTGTGTGCGGGGCCTGGATGGGTCCCTGGGGGCGGGACAACTAAACTATCGTTCCTTACTGCAATCATGGGGTACAATCTGTAGGTCAGGTGATCTGATTGTACAATCCCAGCTCTATATCATGTTACCCCTGTACTGGTTGGATAATTCCAGCTATCTATAAGCTTCACCCTGTTCTGATTGGATGGTCCTAAAGCTAGATAATGTTCCTTTTTACGGGATTGGACGATCCCAGCTCTATATAATGTTCCTCTTTACGGGATTGGATGGTCCTAACTCTATATAATGTTCCTCTTTACGGGATTGGATGATCCCAGCTCTATAAAATGTTCCAATTTATGGGATTGGACAGTCCCAGGTCTATATAATGTTCCTCTTTACGGGATTGGATGATCCCAGCTCTATATAATGTTTCCCTTTACGGGATTGGACGGTCCCAGCTCTGTATCATGTTCCTCTTTACTGGATTGGACGATCCCAGCTCTATATAATGTTCCTCTTTATGGGATTGGATGGTCCCAGCTCTGTATCATGTTCCTCTTTACGGGATTGGACGATCCCAGCTCTGTATCATGTTCCTCTTTACGGGATCGGACGATCCCAGCTCTGTATCATGTTCCTCTTTACGGGATTGGATGATCCCAGCTCTATAATTTTCTACATACAATCCCAGCTGGATTGTGTCATCAGATGACACCAGTGAGTTCTGCACTTGGACAGCTGGAGGGAGCAGTACAGGGATTGGATCATCTGGAGGATCTTCTGCTCAAATTCCAGTCTTTATGTGATAAAGTGTCACCCCGCGGGGGGGGGGGGGGGGAGATATGTGACAGACATCTGAGAAAGAGAACCTGTCAGGATCTGGTTACCTGGCCCAGCTGAGGCTCCTGTCATTCACTTCCACCGGCGCAGCAATGGCCGCCCCCGTGGAGCCTCACCTGGGCCATCTAGGAGGGTCCTCATGTACATCTGTGACCACCATGACTTCCCACCGACGGAACTCACCGATACGAACTCTCCATGTGCAGGAGCTGCGGAAATATCCGAACAGAAGAGGCTGGAAAGAGAAGAGTAGTGTCAGCTAGGTGAACCCAGCCTCTGTGCACAGGAGAGCACCTCCGCCCCTTTCCCGTAAAGCTCCAACCGCAGGCTATGCACACAGGCCAGCACCTCTGCCCCTATCCTGTAAAGCTCCAACCGCAACATCTGCACGCAGCACCAACCACACCTTTTGCACGCAGGTCCCTACCACGCAGCACCAACCGCACCTTTTGCGCGCAGGTCCCTACCACGCAGCACCAACCGCAGCCTTTGCGCGCAGGTCCCTACCACGCAGCACCAACCGCAGCCTTTGCGCGCAGGTCCCTACCACGCAGCACCAACCGCAGCCTTTGCGCGCAGGTCCCTACCACGCAGCACCAACCGCAGCCTTTGCGCGCAGGTCCCTACCACGCAGCACCAACCGCAGCCTTTGCGCGCAGGTCCCTACCACGCAGCACCAACCGCAGCCTTTGCGCGCAGGTCCCTACCACGCAGCACCAACCGCAGCCTTTGCGCGCAGGTCCCTACCACGCAGCACCAACCGCACCTTTTGCGCGCAGGTCCCTACCACGCAGCACCAACCGCACCTTTTGCGCGCAGGTCCCTACCACGCAGCACCAACCGCAGCCTTTGCGCGCAGGTCGCTACCACGCAGCACCAACCGCAGCCTTTGCACACAGATCCCTACCACGCAGGTCAGCACTCCCTGTACAGCACCAACCACAGCCTCTGCACACAGGTCAGCACTGCCTATACAGCACCAACCACAGCCTGTGCACACAGGTCAGCACTGCCTATACAGCACCAACCACAGCCTCTGCACACAGGTCAGCACTGCCTATACAGCACCAACCACAGCCTCTGCACACAGGTCAGCACTCCCTATACAGCACCAACCACAACCTCTGCACATACGCCAGCACTCACCTTGTCTGTGGCTGCCATGTTTCTAGAAGAAGACTCTGAGCTCTGGCCAATCAGCAGAGTCCTCAGATCCGCCCTCCATGTGGCTCTGATTATAAAGTACAAAGTGCAGCCCTCCCCCTCCTCCTCCACAAACACACGAGTTCCATCCAGAAATAAAAGCTGAACTGTATGTGGCTCACAGCAACCAATTAGATTCTTCTGCCCTGCTCTACATATATAAGTAGTATTTAAAGGGGCAGCAACCAATCAGTATATTTCGGTGATCTGGTCTCAGTAGGTGTGGCCTTGTTGCTATGGGTTACTGGTCCATGTCCAGTCTTTATAATGAAGGACAGAGGTCAGTGAGCTGGAAATGCTGATCCAATGATGTCCTACGTACCGCCTCCGAGGGGCAAATAATGCCGAAGTCGTGTCCGCACTGTGTGTGTCGGTGCTGCCCATACCAACCAGTCTGTACTTCCCGGTCGTGGTACCAACCAAATTTGTGAGAAGGGGGTCTGTCCCTGAAAATGGCACTCTGCATATCACTAGGATGTGAGGGGCTCCTGGAACAGGGGGTGTAGTTGGGCCCGAGTAGTGGGGGTTCTCCCCAATAGGCAGGGCTCCCAACCTGCTGAGGTAGTGCAAACGGCACCTTACTGCATTTATTCAAAATACATGTCCCTTGCAGACCCTAGCCCCGCCCCCGCGGACCTTCCTGTGGTTTCCCATTATTATTGCTACTTTATATTTGCGGCAGGTTTGCTGCCATAGAACCATGTATAACAGAAAGCTCCATAACTGGAGGACAGTGTCTCTGGTTGGAGCTGAAAGGACAGAGATGATAATTCGGAGCCATATCCAGGCACAAGTCGCCTTCCATCTAGTTGCTAATGGTTACCGATCTCAGCACGACACGTGACTCCCCGCCTGCCGTACCCACCAATCAGTTCTCAGTACATACCTTCCCAACTGCAGCCATGCTGTTGCGCTCAGAGGGGCGGAGCCGGGACAGATTCTGGAGACGAGATTTAAGCAGGGCCTTCTGGAAGGGGCGGGGTCTGGGCGGCCATTTTCTTGAAGCGTAGCGCGCGGCTCTAGTGGCGGCGAAGAGGTCACATCTCCATAGTAACCGACTGAAAGCTCTCAGGCCGGGATGGATGAGGCCCGCAGGCCGGAGAGGGGCCCCAGAGGGGAGGTGGAGATGGGGGGCCCCAGGGTATGGCCGGTCTTGTCCGCCGTTATCGCCCTGTCTACCATTACCCGATTCCACCGCCTGGGGGAGCCGCCACACGTCTGGTGAGCGTTACTAACCACTGAGCACTGCTAACCACCGGCCATCGCCGCCTGGGGGAGCCAACACTATTACTGAGTGCAGGGCATCTCTAACCACTAATATCAAACTCATTACTAACCAATCACCATTACTAACCACTGACCACCCCTAACAATCCGACCACAGACCGTTACTGACCACCGACCACCCCTAACAATCCGACCACAGACCGTTACTAACCACCGACTACCCCTAACAATCCGACCACAGACCGTTACTGACCACCGACCACCCCTAACAATCCGACCACAGACCGTTACTGACCGCCGACTACCCCTAACAATCCGCCCACAGACCGTTACTAACCTCCGACCACAGACCGTTACTGACCGCCGACTACCCCTAACAATCCGACCACAGACCGTTACTGACCACCGACTACCCCTAACAATCCGACCACAGACCGTTACTAACCACCGACTAACCCTAACAATCCGACCACAGACCGTTACTAACCACTGACTACCCCTAACAATCCGACCACAGACCGTTACTAACCGCCGACTACCCCTAACAATCCGACCACAGACCGTTACTAACCACTGACTACCCCTAACAATCCGACCACAGACCGTTACTAACCGCCGACTACCCCTAACAATCCGACCACAGACCGTTACTGACCGCCGACTACCCCTAACAATCCGACCACAGACCGTTACTGACCGCCGACTACCCCTAACAATCCGACCACAGACCGTTACTGACCGCCGACTACCCCTAACAATCTGACCACAGACCGTTACTGACCGCCGACTACCCCTAACAATCCGACCACAGACCGTTACTGACCGCCGACCACCCCTAACAATCCGACCACAGACCGTTACTGACCGCCGACTACCCCTAACAATCCGACCACAGACTGTTACTGACCGCCGACCACCCCCTAACAATCCGACCACAGACCGTTACTAACCACCGACTACCCCTAACAATCCGACCACAGACCGTTACTGACCACCGACTACCCCTAACAATCCAACCACAGACCGTTACTAACCACTAACCTTTCCTAAATTCTGATTATAATATTGACCAACCCTAATCTCCGACCGCCCCCAACCTCTGACCATCCCCCACTACGGACTGTCCCCAACCTCCGACCGTCCTCAACCACCGACTGTCCCCCACTACTGACTGTCCCCAACCTTCGACTGTCCCCAACCTCCGACTGTCCCCAACCTCTGACCGTCCTCAACCACCAACCATCCCCAACCGCTGATCGTCCCCAACCTCCGACCATTCCTAACCACTGACAGTCATTAACCTCCAAACATCCCTAACCAATGACCGTCCACAAACTTTGACCATCTCCAACCATTCCTAATCTCCGACTGTCCCCAACTTCTGAGCATCCCCAAGCTCCAACCATTCCTAACCTTTGACCATCCCCAACCATCGAACGTCCCCAACCACCGACCACCTCCCATCCCCAACCTATGACTGTCCCCAACTTTTGACCGTCCCCAACCACCAACCGTCCCCCAACTTCAGACCGTCTCCCACCATCGACCATCCCCCAACCTCCGAATGTTCCCAACCTCAGACTGTCCCTAACCAACGACCACCCCCAACCTCTGATGGTCCCCAACCACCGACCGTTCCTAACCTCTGACCGTCCCCAACCTCCGACCGTCCCCATTCAACCGCCAACTGTCCTTAGCTTTTGATCACTGACCTGCCCTAACCTCTGACCATCCCTAACCATTAAAGTGATTGTAAAGGAAAAGAAAATATTTAAAAAATAATAATCATGTTATACTTACCTGCTCTGTGCAGTGATTTTGCACAGAGCAGCCCCGATCCTCCTCTTAACCCCTGTGGGCTCAATACTGAGCTGGGCTCTGTGTATGCATTGACCCCACTCCTTCCTCACAGGCTGTGATTGACAGCAGGAGCAGCAGCCAATGTCTCCCACTACTGCCTCCATGTCCAATGGCGATGGAGAGGGTGGAGAGGGTCGTTGATCATGCATGTCGCTGGATCGAGGTCAGGCTCAGGTAAGTATATGGGGGGTTGAGGGAGGGGAGGGTGAGCTGAACGCAGAAGGTTTTCTACTTTAATTCATAGAAAACCTTCTGCCTTTAGAAACCACTTTAACATTTCCAACCTATGAAAATTCCTACCCACTGGCCATCCTTATCCTTTGACCGTCCCTAACCACTGACCATCACTTAATATTGACCATCCCTAACTGCTTTCACTCCCTAATCAACATTTCTAAATTCTAATCATCCCTTCCCACCAACCATCCCTACCCACCAATCATCCCTACCCACCAATCATCCCTACCCACCAACCATCCCTACCCACCAATCATCCGTAACCTCTGACCATCCCTAACCATTAATATTTCTAACCTCTAACAATTCCCACCCACTGAGACAGATCAGTGCAGTTGGACAGTTGTAAAGTGAACACCTTGTATCTTCTCTTTCAGCTGGGATGAGACACATTTTGGAAAGATGGGAAGTTATTACATCAACAGGACGTTTTTCTTCGATGTGCACCCCCCTCTGGGGAAGGTAATAAATTCCACAACCCACCCCACCCCTGGGGAAGCTAAGAGACTCAGCAATGTTTGTCCCTTCCTCTTCAGATGCTAATTGGATTGGCTGGACATTTGACCGGATACAACGGTTCCTTCTCCTTCCTGAAGCCTGGGCAGAGCTATGGAGACCACAGCTACCTGGGCATGAGAGGGGTGAGAGGCAGCATCACTGCAGGGGGGCACATGTCTGAAATTGTGATCTGTGCAAACCTCCATGATTGGAAAACAGACATGATAGGAATCATGATAGGGGATATCGGGACATGAGAATCAGTTCCTCAGCTTGCTGGAGGTTTTCTTTCTGTTTCTCGCAGATAAATGTGCGCCGGTGATGCAGGTTCCCCCAGTGATTGGAGGCGTGTAGTGGAGATGATTGGTAGTTTATCCAGTGATTGGAGGTCTGGGGTAGATATGAATGGTGGCTCTGCCAGTGATTGTAGGTGTGGCTGTCTATGGATGTGAAGATGATCAGTGGCTTGCAAGGGATTGAAGATCTGTGTATGTGTTGAAGATGACCGATGGCTCCTCTAGTGATTGGAGGCAGGTGCTCTGTGGCTCTGAAGATGGTGGGTGGTTACCCCAGGGATTGGAGGTGGGTGCTCTGTGGCTCTGAAGATGGTGGGTGGTTACCCCAGTGATTGGAGGTGGGTGCTCTGTGGCTCTGAAGATGGTGGGTGGTTCCACCAGGGATTGGAGGTGGGTGCTCTGTGGCTCTGAAGATGGTGGGTGGTTCCACCAGTGATTAGAGGCGGGTGCTCTGTGGATCTGAAGATGGTGGGTGGTTCCCCCATTGATTGGAGGCGGGTGCTCTGTGAATCTGAAGATGGTGGGTGGTTCCCCCAGTGATTGGAGGTGGGTGTTCTGTGAATCTGGAGATGGTGGGTGGTTCCCCCAGTGATTGGAGGTGGGTGATCTGTGAATCTGAAGATGGTGGGTGGTTCCCCCAGTGATTGGAGGTGGGTGCTCTGTGGATCTGAAGATGGTGGCTGGTTACCCCAGTGATTGGAGGTGGGTGCTCTGTGGCTCTGAAGATGGTGGGTGGTTCCACCAGGGATTGGAGGTGGGTGCTCTGTGGCTTTAAAGATGGTGGGTGGTTCCACCAGTGATTGGAGGTGGGTGCTCTGTGAATCTGAAGATGGTGGGTGGTTACCCCAGTGATTGGAGGTGGGTGTTCTGTGAATCTGGAGATGGTGGGTGGTTCCCCCAGTGATTGGAGGTGGGTGCTCTGTGAATCTGAAGGTGGCGGGTGGTTCCCCCAGTGATTGGAGGTGGGTGCTCTTTGAATCTGAAGATGGTGGGTGGTTCCCCCAGTGATTGGAGGTGGGTGCTCTGTGAATCTGAAGATGGTGGGTGGTTCCCCCAGTGATTGGAGGTGGGTGCTCTGTGGATCTGAAGATGGTGGGTGGTTACCCCAGTGATTGGAGGTGGGTGCTCTGTGAATCTGAACATGGTGGGTGGTTACCCCAGTGATTGGAGGTGGGTGCTCTGTGGATCTGAAGATGGTGGGTGGTTCCCCCAGTGATTGGAAGTGGGTGCTCTGTGGATCTGAAGATGGTGGGTGCTTCCCCCAGTGATTGAAGGTGGGTGCTCTGTGAATCTGGAGATGGTGGGTGGTTCCCCCAGTGATTGGAGGTGGGTGCTCTGTGAATCTGAAGATGGTGGGTGGTTCCCCCAGTGATTGGAGGTGGGTGCTCTGTGGATCTGAAGATGGTAGGTGGTTCCCCCAGTGATTGAAGGTGGGTGCTCTGTGGATCTGAAGATGGTGGGTGGTTCCCCCAGTGATTGGAGGTGGGTGCTCTGTGGATCTGAAAATGGTGGGTGGTTACCCCAGTGATTGAAGGTGGGTGCTCTGTGGATCTGAAAATGGTGGGTGGTTCCCCCAGTGATTGAAGGTGGGTGCTCTGTGGATCTGAAAATGGTGGGTGGTTACCCCAGTGATTGGAGGTGGGTGCTCTGTGAATCTGAACATGGTGGGTGGTTACCCCAGTGATTGGAGGTGGGTGCTCTGTGAATCTGAACATGGTGGGTGGTTACCCCAGTGATTGGAGGCGGGTGCTCTGTGAATCTGAAGATGGTGGGTGGTTCCCCCAGTGATTGGAGGTGGGTGCTCTGTGAATCTGAAGATGGTGGGTGCTTCCCCTAGTGATTGGAGGCGGGTGATCTGTGGATCTGAAGATGGTGGGTGCTTTGTAGATGTGGTGGAGATGATTGGTGGTTCCTCCTGTGTTTGGAGGCAGGTATTCTGGATGTGAAGATGGTTGGTTGCTTCCCCAGTGATTGGAGGCGGATGGTCTGTGAATGTTAAGATGGTGACTGGTTTACCCTGTGATTGGAGGCGGGCGGTATATGGATGTGGTGGAGATGATTGGTGAATCCTCTTGTGGATGTGGAGATGATCGGTGGCTCCCCCAGTGATTGGCAATGGGTGCTCTGTGTATGTGGCAAGGATAATTGGTGGCTCCCCCAGTGGTTGGAGGCAGTTGCTCTGTGGATGTGCAAAAAATATAAAAGTGCAGCGCTAATTAATATCTAATAAACGTAATACAATATAAACTCAATGCACCCCCACAATAAATCCAAGATCCTCAATACATATACAGTGTCATGCATGTGTTCCCTCATGGGGAATATCTCGTGCAAAAAGTGAAAAATTATGTATTATATAAAATCATATATAATAATAATAGGTGGTACCACACTAAGAGTGCACAAAAGGTTGAACAAAATTCAAATACAAGAAAAGTCCAAAATTAATAATAATATTAATGATGATGCTGTGCTTAATGATGAACTTCACACTCCACTCTTCATGCAAAATTATGTGCAGTGTACGTGATTCACACGTGACAATCCTTAACGGCCAAAATGCCCCCTCACCTCCTTCCTTAGACCCCAAGGGGCCAGCACGCTTTCAGGATCACACGATCCTATCATTATGGATCACTCTCAAGATAATGTCTTCCTCCTCCAGCGTCCACCAGTTTAGCAGCCAGCTCCTCCCAGGGTCATAGTAAGACACAAGCAGAGACCCTCCATAGTGCAACCAGTAATTTTATTGGTAATAGGTATATAAAGTAGATTTCCACTCACAAAAACAACGAATATTCCAGCCTCCTACCACTTGCTATGGGTGTACACCCATAGCATGTGGTAGGAGGCTGGAATATTTTTTTTAAATAATTTTTTAATTATCTGTGGATGTGGTGATGATGAATGGTGGTTTCCCCACCAGGTGCTTTAAAACAGGGTGTAATGGAATATCACAGTAAATATATTGATCAACATGCTGTGTCCTTTTGGCAGTTCTGTGCCTTCCTAGGTTCCTGGCTCCCTCCATTTGGCTTCTTCGTCATCCTGCAGCTCTCTGGATCGTTATCAGCTGCCCTGCTGGCTGCTCTTCTCATCCTGCTCGGTAAGAAAATCTTGATTATCAGTTATTGTTCCCATGCCTCAATGTAGGATGTCACCCCTTTCCTAGATGGGCACCATTGTTGCTGAGTGTCATGGCATTCATCCAATCAAAGCTCACAATGCTGCTTGTGCAGGAGCAGTAGTTTGTGATTGCAGTCCTAAAGAAGGTTTGGGGCATTTGATTGCTGACAGGGCCCATTGACTTTAACAATTCTAATATTATTACTGCAATTCTTCTCCCCAGACACTGGCTGCATCACACTGTCCCAGTACATCTTACTGGATCCCATCCTCATGTTCTTCATCATGGCCGCCGTTCTCAGTATGGTCAAATTTAACGCTTGTTCTGGCAGGTGAGTAGACGGGACGTAGTGACAAGAGACGCACTAAATGTCCCTGTCCCTACAACTTACCTTGTCCATCCCCCTGACCTTCCTGAACACTAACCTTACTTATCTCTACTGCTTTGTGTTTATGTCTGGGTAAAATTTAACAAAATGCTCATGCAGTTCATGTTTGACATTCATGTTGCCTTTTTACAATGCAGACAAACACTTATTAATCCTGCAGAAATTCAGTAAGCTCCTAACTTCCTCTAGTGAGCTGACAACTCTTCCTCTGGCTGCATGGAAAAGTTGTCAGCCCTGCCCTGTACTCTGCAGGACTACAGAACACCTTCCTACTGTATTATGGAAGAGTCTAGAGGGGTTATGTAGCCCAAGAGGGAAGAGCTGGGCAGGGGGTACAACACTGCTTGGGATTTCAATGTAGTAAGGGGTAAAGGGGTAAGTACGTTTACTGCGGAAAGGTACTGCATATTGTTTTTTCTCACTTTACCCAGACATACTTGTTACATCCATCCTTCCCTCTAAGGTTGGCCGTGCTCTATAAGATTTCTCCCATTTAGCATGGATGGAGGAATCTCCCCTGCCGACTGTTGTACTTTTGACAGCTGGCACCTGCGGCTGTCAGAATACTCGAATTATGATTGCATCTGATCGATGTAAGTGCTGTTCAGCCAAGCATTCTCCACCCAGCTCCTTCAATTTTTTTGGGGGAGGGTGTGTTTCCAACAAGGCTACCCACTACTCAGATTTCTGCCTTGTATGGCCATCCTAATGCCAACCCAACCATTACTCTTGATCCCTGAGTCTCATTTTTCCATAAGCACCCTTAACCTTCTTGTCTCCAAAACGATCAGGCTGATACCCTATTGCCCCAGTCCATTGGTACCAGTTCATGTCTTTCATGATCAAGCACATCTATTCTTTAAAGGCCTATTCACAATAGAAAGCTCAGGTTCCATGCCGGTTTTCCACACCACATTCAAATCACACTACGACTGCGATCTGCAATGTAATGTTAAGGAAACCCCAAATGCAAGTTGTAAATGAAGTGTGTTTGCTTGCACTGGATCGCATGCTATAAAAGTACCATGCTATCCTGTGCAGCGTGCTTCCAAAAGTAGTGTATGCACTACATTTGGTGATGTATGGTGCAATTCCAGCCCATGCAAAATAAATGGGCTGAAATCGCACTGAATTGCACAGGAACGCTTATCGCTAGGAATCCCATGAAGCTTTCAGTCGGCTTTCTGCTGGACAATGAGGAGACATCAGTGGAAGGAATGTTCCTCCAGGAGGTTTTTGATTTTTGAAATTTGTACTTCTCACATATCAAGGCAATAAAAAGAATAGCATACACTGTACAATACAATATGTATTAGTGATCTTCTGACAATCGTGTAAACTACTACTACCCAGAATAGCAAATAAATAACCGGTATCCTGAGTGGTCTCAAAACATCCTCACCGGTTTTGGTTCTGCTTATTCTCCACTTCTCATCATGTTACAGCATTGCAGTTGTTCACGGTAAAGTGCAGCAAACTCAGCGATGTGTACCTGTCAGTGTGCATTGTGCATAACACTGCCCCAAACTACATCACCGACCTGATATCCATCTACCACCCAAAACGCACTCTACGTTCCTCACAAGACCTCCTACTCTCTAGTTCCCTGGTCTCCTCCTCCCATGCCCGTCTCCAGGACTTCTCCAGGGCTTCCTCCATTCTCTGGAACTCACTACCCTTATCCATCAGACTGTCACCTTCCCTCCTCACATTTAGGCGCACCCTGAAAACCCATCTCTTCAGGGAAGCCTACCCCGCCCTCACCTAATTGCCGATCTCCTCCACTCTTCCTACCTCTCCATCCCCCACAGCTATTTCCTCCTGTACCTCTTCCCCTCCCCTCCTAGATTGTAAGCTCCAAGGAGCAGGGCCCTCGAACCCCTCGTGTATTGTATTGTTACTGTGCTGTCTCATGTACTGTCTCCCATTATAATGTACAGCGCTGAGCAAACTGTTGGCGCTATATAAATTCTGTATAATATTAATAATTGTGATTTGGGCATGTACCTTACAGCTCTTTCTCTCTGGGTATGAGAGGTGATCACCTCCATCAGGAATCATGTGTCAGGGATTTAACTCCATGCAAATGAAATGCTGCAGAAAATGGGAAGTATAGAGTAAACACGTACTGGAACCTAATGGAAATAACATGTGCTTGGGTAGATAAACTAATCATGTGACAATACAAAATGACAGAAAAGCAGCGCGCACATCAGGCAACAGACCATCGTAAATAAATAAAAATTTCAGCGCTAATCAAAAAACAGAGTCCAGTAAATCAGAAAAAGTTCCAGTAAAAAAAAGGTCCCAAATGTATTCCTACGATCCACCATCACCAGGACACCTGAATGGTTAGCCTCTTACCAGAATTTCTGTACGAAACACACCGGTCAATATATTTATTATTTATTTCAGGTACTTATATAGCGCCATCAATTTACGCATCACTTTATATATATATTGTACATTCACATCAGTCCCTAACCCTCAAGGGGCGTACAATCTAAGGTCCCTAACTCACATATAATAATTTGATTATAGAGGCTGTTAAAGGCAACCCGTAGTCACAGCAAACATTGTCAAACATAACATATCATACAGTGGTCACTGTTTAATATGTGGTCTCTGCATGAATAACAGCCACAGATTTCACTAACTGGCCCAACCCAACGTGGCAAATCTACTTTACTGAATGGCAGACATGTAATAGGCCAATCGCGCAGTTTTTTGTAGCTGGCCTGGCCAGTGAGGAACATTTTTGTGGGGGTGGGGGCAGTTCCCCTGTCAGAACACAATAGCTAGGCAGGGAAATCTCGGTACCAACATCAAAGAACAGCGACCTTCTCAGGTTGTTTTTTTTTTTTTTTTTTTTTTCCATTCAGCCCACTTTGTTAAATGGAAAAAAAAAACAAAAAAAAAAAAACCTGAACTTGGCATAAGGCTATTGCACATACCCCTGTGTGAGGAGACTCTGATGGAAGCAGCCACTCCCCAACTTAAATGCTACATACATCAGATCTAGGAAAGTCTCCTATTTATTTATTTCAGGTACTTATTTAGCACCATCGATTTAGGCAGCACTTTACATATATATTGTACATTCACATCAGTCCCTAACCCTCAAGGGGAGTACAATCTAAGGTCCCTAACCCTCAAGGGGTGTACAATCTAAGGTCCCTAACCCTCAAGGGGCGTACAATCTAAGGTCCCTAACTCACATTCATAAATACACATACTAGGGCCAATTTAGACAGGAGACAACCTACCAGCATGTCTTTGGAGTGTGGGAGGAAACCAGAGTTCCTGGAGGAAACCCACGCAGGCACAGGGAGAACATGCAAACTCCATGCAGGCGATGCCGTGGCTGGGATTCGAACCAACAACTCGAGTACTGCCAGGCGGGAGTGCTAACCATTTAGCCACTGTGCTGCCTGATATAAGCAACTCAAATGGGAGATGAATATGTGTAGATCATGGCACCAGCAATCATCATCCAGATAGATATCAATCCTCCTTTCACAGATCTGAAACTGGTCCTAAAAGAAGACTCCAATCCAATATTTAGATAAGGAATTAAAGAAAAAGGCCACTCAAAATGTAGTATTTAAGTAATAAAATCACCCTGTTCAATTACAAGTTAGTCGTACATTGTTTTGGATGGTTACCAGCATTTGAATCAAGTTTCCAACCAGGAAAATGGCCACAGTCCCTCCAAAACCCATTATGACGTCACACGCCGAAGCTCCATCCGACGCGCTTTGTCATCCAATTGACGGGCGTAGCTAATCAGACGTGGCGACGTCTATATATAGTACATGGAGGAACCCACCCACTAATCACAATGCGTTCCAGGAGGTGGATGGAGCTCCAGGAAAGCCCTTAACTGGAACCTAACCCATTGCCCCTTCTCTCTCCTCAGGCCATTCAGCACCCTCTGGTGGTGGTGGCTGATACTGACTGGTGTGAGTCTGGCCGGAGCGTTGGGGGTGAAGTTCGTCGGTCTGTTTGTGGTCATCTTCGTTGGCCTGAACACAGCGAGGGACTTGTGGAGGCTGCTGGGAGATCTCAGCCTGACGCTGGTGGGTTCTGTAAATTTCACATCTCAGATATTTGTGTGCGTTTACTTATTTACCATCCTTGACCGTGTCTGTTCTAGTTGAGGGCAAATTTGCCTCCCTAATTTATGATGTTTGCAGTGAATCCGGGCTGATGTGGAAATTTTCTGCTTTACAAAATCAGCCTAGCGTTTATTTAACCCCTTCACGCCTAGGGGTAAAAAAAAATCTTAACACCTAAGCACAATTTTGCAACGTTGACCTGTGTTAGTAAAACCGTACATATCATCACAACTACTTTGTACATCCAGGTGAATTATACCGCATTTTTCTCAGGACAAATTGGGCTTTCATTTGGTGGTGAATGGTAATGAATATCTCCTGGTTTTTTTTTTGTATTATTATTATTATTATCAAAGGAAAACTGGCCCAAAATAGTAAAAAAAAAATATTTTTTTTTAAATTCAGCTGTGTGTTTCTTGTTACTACCATAACCGACCACCAAAGAACAACCCAAATAAATTTTCCAGCTCTTGACGATCGCAGCGATACCATATATGTGTATGTTATTTGTTGTTTGTACCCGTAGTACAGCCCAGAAACAATAGTGCGCATTTTTGTTCTTTTGGGGTTTTTTTTTTTTTTACCTAAAACACACTGACACTGATACCAATTTAAAAAAAAATAATCCTGACCTTTGACCGTAACCAGGGGCGGACTGACCATTTGGAAACTCGGGCACTGCCCGAGGGCCGGGGCCAGTAGGGGGCCCCATGAGATGCCCCTGGTACCTTTTTCATAGGCTTTTTTGAGTTTGGGCAAGGACACAGGGGCCCCATGATCCCCTATTGCCTGGGGGCCCATGAGTTGTCAGTCCGTCCCTGACCCAACACTAACCCTGACACTAAACTAGATCAATCATTGATCTAGGTATTTTTTATTTATTTTTTATTTAATTTTTTAATATTTATTTGTCCTTTCTTTCTTTTCTTTCCTTTCTTTCTTTTCTTTCCTTTCTTTTCTTTTCTTTCTTTTCTTTCTTTCTTAAACATTTTTTTTTTCTCTCTATGCAAGGAGTTAGAGAGAAACAATGTATCTCTCTCCTCCATTCATAGAGGGAAAAATAAAACAAACAAGGGGGCGGGCTATACAGTGATCACTGTGACAGCAAATCAGAGGCTATCACAGCGATCATGTGACCCAGAATCGAGAGTCCCGGGTCCCAATCGTTAGAATGGGACCCGGGTCTTTCAGTGACACCCCAGTCTTTGTTCTGGTAGGGCGCTGTGCGGCACGCTCCCAGCAGAAAGACAGGTATGCAAATATGCGGCCCCACGGAAAAAAACCCAGTCCTGTGAGGCTGCATATTTGTGTGTCGCTGGCATAAAGGGGTTAAAGAACCTGACAATGTCATTGTATCGCTGAATGTTTGACGTGTTCCTCACATTCTCCATTTTGCAGGACGTTTTCCTGCGCCATTTGGCCGCTCGTGTTGTCTGTCTTATTGCTCTACCGCTTGCCCTGTACGCTCTCATCTTTGCTGTGCATTTCACCGTCCTTAATAAGAGGTAAGCTGTGTGATCCTATTTCCTGCTCTGCTCTGATGTGTTCTGCCAATGCATGTACAGTGTGATGTACTAATCAGTGTTGGGGGGTCCCTGGAAATCCTCATATCCTCTTCCTGAATTTCAGTGGTCCTGGCGATGGTTTCTTCAGCTCCGCCTTCCAGTCCCGTCTAGATGGAAACAATCTGCACAATGCCTCTATGCCGGAGCGTACGTATCAGATGGGGATGGTGGGGGGTATTTCTGTGCTGAGTGAAACAGGTGTCATGTAGTACAGAAGGGGCGCTATACTGACTGTAGGGTCACGCAGAGTGCCATCATCATACAGAACCCCAATTTAAGTGGAGGAATCTCCCGTTTGAGTCCCCATCCTATACTATAATGCAGGGGTCCTTAAACTTTCAAAACAAAGAGCCAGTTTACTTCCCCTCAAACTTTGTGGGGTCCGGACTGTGGCCAGTGGGGGTAGAAAATGCTCTGGAATCAGTGGGAGTAAACAATGCTATAGGCTTGGTGATTAGTGGGAGTTAATGTCAGTGGGAGGTATAGTGCCCCATCATAGGTGTCAGTGGGAGGAATAGTGCCACATCATTGGTATCAGTGGAAGGAATAGTGCCCCATCATAGGTGTCAGTGGGAGGAATAGTGCCCCAACATAGGTGTCAGTGGGAGGAATAGTGCCCCATCATAGGTTTCCGTGGGAGGAATAGTGCCCCATCAGTGGTGTCAGTGGGAGGAATAGTGCCCCATCATTGGTATCAGTGGGAGGAATAGTGCCCCATCATTGGTATCAGTGGGAGGAATAGTGCCCCATCATTGGTATCAGTGGGAGGAATAGTGCCCCATCATTGGTATCAGTGGGAGGAATAATGCCCCATCATTGGTATCAGTGGGAGGAATAGTGCCCCATCATAGGTTTCCATGGGAGGAATAGTGCCCCATCATAGGTTTCTGTGGGAGGATTAGTGCCCCATCATAAGTTTCAGTGGGAGGTATAGTGCCCCATCATACGTGTCAGTGGGAGAAATAGTACCCCATCATAGGTGTCAGTGGGAGGAATAGTGCCCCATCATAGGTGTCATTGGGAGGTGTACTGCCCCATCATAGGTGTCATTGGGAGGAATAGTGCCCCATCATAGGTGTCATTGGGAGGTGTAGTGCCCCATCATAGGTGTCATTGGGAGGTATAGTGCCCCATTATAGGTGTCATTGGGCGGCATAGTGCCCCATCATAGGTATCATTGGGAGGAATAGTGCCCCATCATAGGTGTCATTGGGAGGTATAGTGCCCCATTATAGGTGTCATTGGGCGGTATAGTGCCCCATTATAGGTGTCATTGGGCGGCATAGTGCCCCATCATAGGTGTCATTGGGAGGAATAGTGCCCCATCATAGGTGTCATTGGGAGGTGTAGTGCCCCATCATAGGTGTCATTGGGAGGTATAGTGCCCCATCATAGGTGTCATTGGGCGGCATAGTGCCCCAATCATAGGTGTCATTGGGAGGTATAGTGCCCCATCATAGGTGTCATTGGGAGGTATAGTGCCCCATCATAGGTGTCATTGGGAGGTATAGTGCCCCATCATAGGTGTCATTGGGAGGTATAGTGCGCCATAATTGGTGTAAGTGGGAGGAATAGCACCTCGTATCAGTAGAAGGACAAGTGCCCCAAGGGCCAGATGAAGGCAAGCAAACATGCACATCCGGTCCCCAGGCCGCAGTTTGGAGACCCCGGCTATAAAGTGCTCCTTCTGTAATAATATTTTATTGGACAAGGGGCAGGCCTACGATCACATTGAAGCTCAGGAAAGCCAGTTATCATTTTTACTTTCACTGACACCTCTATTATCCATTACATGGACTCATGTAACATCGCTTCTGATGACATCATACTCCCCTTATAAGATGACATGAGTTCCCCCTGGATTCAAGTAATGACATCACTGCTCCTTGGATTTAAATGATGACATCACTGCTTCCTGGATTTAAATGATGACATCACTGCTCCTTGGATTTAAATGATGACATCACTGCTTCCTGGATTTAAATGATGACATCACTGCTCCTTGGATTTAAATGATGACATCACTGCTCCTTGGATTTAAATGATGACATCACTGCTTCTTGGATTTAAATGATGACATCACTGCTTCTTGGATTTAAATGATGACATCACTGCTTCCTGGATATAAATGATGACATCACTGCTTCCTGGATTTAAATGATGACATCACTGCTCCTTGGATTTAAATGATGACATCACTGCTCCTTGGATTTAAATGATGACATCACTGCTTCCTGGATTTAAATGATGACATCGCTGCTGTCCTGTGGTTTGATACAGGGTAGATGTATATGTGACAGTCTTGATTCTATGTGATCCTCTCTTCATCTAGATTTGGCATACGGATCGGTTATTACATTGAAGAACATGCGTACTGCCACTGGATATCTGCACTCACACTGGCATCTGTACCCAGAAGGGGTGGGAGCTCGGCAGCAGCAGGTCAGCCCATCTGGACAGTACCCAGAGGACCCTTCTCTTTCCCTGGCCTGTTACAATGATCTCTTTCCTTCTTCCAGGTCACCACATACTCACACAAAGACCAGAACAACTTTTGGGTCATAAAGAAGCGAGACTCTGATTATGGTAATTGCAGCAATTCCATTGGGGCACGAGGGCTGCAGTAATGTCATCTCCTGCTGACTCTTGCCATTGTTTTATTACAGACCCTACAGGCCCGCTGGAGTTTGTACGTCATGGCGACATCATCCGCTTTGAACACAAAACGTGAGTTTCCCTCCAGAATAGGGAAGACGCATTGAAAATGTATTTCCTTCAGGTAGAGAGTTGGGATTATTATCTGATGAAAATATTTCTTGGCTGGAGGATGTCTAGGTCTTTCCTCCCCAGCCTCACTGGCACTGGTGGGCCCCTTTCCTTCATTGGACGTTGCTTTTTTCAATAATGCTGATTCAAAGTCATGTGTGAAAATTCCATTGGACAGTCCGCATACAAATGAAGTTTGCCTAGGAACGCCCACTCATTCACAATGACATCCATCCATCCGTCATGGCGTTTTGATATTTTCATATCACCTCCTAAGCCAGCTCAGAGGAACCAAGGCCTCTTCTTAAGAGCAGTACTGAGGCAGGGTGATCTGTAGTTTTCAAGAAGCTATGTACAGCCCTCTGCTGGCCCCTCCCACCAGCCATCATCTGCCTGCATTGCATAGAAAAGCGCACTTAGTGATGATATAATTTCATCTACAATAAGGTATGCAATGAAAACGCAAAGGTGTTATTCAAAAATGTCATTCACGTTTTATGTGAAAAAAAAAAATGTCATAAGCACATTGATGAGGGGAAGGGAGAAACCAAGGAAGACAAAATATAAGTAAACTTCAGCTGTAAGGCGATTATTCAATTTAAGCTGTTAAAGTCACATACCGTATTTTTCGCTCCATAAGACGCACTTTTTTGTGCGTCTCCATAAGACGCACAAAAAAATGGGGGAAAATGTCTGTGCGTCATATGGAGCGAATATGGAGTGGCCGACCTGGTATTCCTGCGGCCTCCGTGTTAGAATACCGGGCCGGCCACTCGGCTCTACTGTGCAGAATAACCTGCTCCTCAGTCCTACCTGTTCCTCGGTCCAGCAGTATCCTGCTTTCACCGGCCGTCTTCTCTCCCCAGCACCAACATCTTCAGTGTGCGTACCCGGCTGTGACAGCTTGCAGCTTCACAGCCGGCTGCCCACTGCACATGCGTGAGAAGCGCTGCGCTTTGTGAATGGCCACCTGTAGTCTTCTGGGACCTGTCAAATGTCCCACAAGACTACGGGGAGGACAACTCCGTGGGAACGGGTACCTGTCAGATCTGCAGTCTCTGGTCATCTCCTGTACTGTGTCTGCAGTCTCTGGTCATCTCCTGTACTGTGTCCACAGTCTCTGGTCATCTCCTGTATTGTGTCTGCAGTCTCTGGTCATCTCCTGTACTGTGTCTGCAGTCTCTGGTCATCTCCTGTACTGTGTCTGCAGTCTCTGGTCATCTCCTGTACTGTGTCTGCAGTCACTGGTCATCTCCTGTAATATGTCCGCAGTCACTGGTCGTCTCCTGTACTATGTCCGCAGTCTCTGGTCATCTCCTGTACTATGTCCGCAGTCTCTGGTCATCTCCTGTACTATGTCCGCAGTCTCTGGTCATCTCCTGTACTATGTCCACAGTCTCTGGTCATCTCCTGTACTATGTACGCAGTCTCTGGTCATCTCCTGTACTATGTCCGCAGCCTCTGGTCATCTGTCCTATGTCCGCAGTCTCTGGTCATATGCTGTACTATTTACGCAGTCTCTGGTCATTTCCTGTACTGTCTACAGTCCATTGGTTCAGAATATTTTTTTTCTTGCTTTCCTCCTATAAAACTTAGGTGCGTCTTATGGTCAGGTGTGTCTTATGGAGTGAAAAATACGGTAAATACAAAACCTATATAAATTGAAAATGATTCGAATTCCCCTTTAAGTAGATGATACAGTTGGTTAGTGGTCTGAGTTGTGCACAGATAAAGAGGATCTATGAACTATGACAGTAATTCAATCTGACAAAGAAGGTTTCCAGAGAAAGCTGATGGGTTTAGAAGTTATGCGAGAAAATCCGGGATGGGGTACAGCATGGGAGAAATCCCAGATTCTTGAGTGAGGAGATGCAAACTTAGTAAAAGAGATGTCCTTCCTATTAATTAAAAAGTGGGCCATATGGCAATGCATTTAGACACAAGGGTGATTTATTCCAGGAATTCAGCAACTTTGTAAAAATGAAGGCGTTCTATGAGTTAAGTCCAACAAGGTATCTGCCACCTCCTGGCCTTGTCTCAGCTGCTTTCAGCTGGTGCAGCTCCTATGCACGTCCCTCCCCTCCTCCTGTCACAGAAGCCTTTGTATTGAGTGAACTAATTCACAAAATACAAAGGCTTCTGTGAATGGGGAACAGCAGAGGAAAGGGGCGGGCATAGCTGCTCTCTGTGCTTCTCTTCTCTCTCACAGACTCCAGTATGGAGTGTATCCTGCAGCAGAGCCATAAACCTGTCAGATATAAATACCAGAGATAAGCCTCAGATTGTAAGCTGTAATGAGTGGGGCCCTCTGATGCCTACTGTATTAAATTGTACTGTAATTGTACTGTCTGCCCTTTTGCTGTAAAGCGCTGCATAGACTGTTGACGCTATAGCGCGTTGGAAAATGGTTAAATTAGCGCAGTGCCGCATAGCAAAAAATTACCTGGTCATGAAGGGGGTAACATTTTCTGGAGGGCAAGTGGTTAAAGTGGAATTGTAATAAAAAAAAAAAAACAAACTTGTGAACAGGCAAACTTTCTTACCTGCTTGTCGCCACTGTACACTGGGCTGCACATGCAAGCTCAGTGTTCAATTTTGGCATCTGCCAAGATAAATTAGCTCTCATGCATGCGTAGTTGTGATGTCACGTCAGCCCAGCCAGTGAATACGGGTATAGAATGGTACTGGAAGGTGACAGGCTGAGGGCTTCTGCTACTAACGAAGGAACTCTGGAACACTGCAGCAATGGTGTGGAGGTGAGTATAGTTCTGCCTTAAGGTGCTAGATTGTTTAGATGTGCGTGACAGGCAGCCAAGGTGGAACATATAACTTGAGGGTCCTGCACAGAGCTCTGATCTCAACCCTCCTCTAAACTTTTTGGATGAATTGGAACGCCGATTGTGAGCCAGGTGTTCTCATCCAACATCAGTACCAGACTTCACAAATAGGCACAAATTCCCACAGACATACTCCAAAATGTTATGGGAAGCCTTCCTAGAAGAGTGGAGGTTGTTATGGCCACTAAGTGGGGCACCTCCATATTGATAGCAATGGTTTAGAAAGGGATGTCCAACAAACGTACAGCGGGTAAAATAAGTATTGAACACTTCACCATTTTTCTCAGTAAATATATTTCTAAAGGTGCTGTTGACATTAAATTTTTCACATGTAGGTAACAACCCGTGCAATCCATACATACAAAGAAACCGAAACAAATAAGTTCAGAAATTAAGTTATGTGTAATAAAATGGAATGACACAGGGAAAAAGTATTGAACACATAAAGAAGAAAGGGAAAAAAAAGGCATGGAAAGCCAAGACACCAGCTGAATTCTATCAGTAATTAGAAAGCAATCCTGCCCCTTTTCGCTGCACATTAATATCAGCTGGTTCAGTCTCAACTGATGACCTAAGAAAGGTGTCTCATTACCAAGGTGTCACACAAGAAATATCTCATGGTGGGTAAAAGCAAAGAGCTCTCTCGAGACCTTTGCAACCTTATTGTTACAAAACACATGCTGTTGGCATTAGTTACAGAAGGATTTCTAAACTTCTGAATATTCCAGTGAGCACTGTTGGGGCCATAATCGGGAAGTGGAAAGAACATCATTTCACCATAAACTGGCCACGATTAGATGCTCTTCGCAAGATTTCTGACAGAGAAGTGAAAAGAATTATCAGAAGAGTTGTCCAGGAGCCAGGGACCACTTGTGGAGAGCTTCAGAAACACCTGGAAATAGGTACTTTTGTTTCAAAGAAAACCATAAGTAATGTACTCAACCGCCATGGCCTGTATGTACGCTCACCACACAAGACTCCATTGCTGAAGAAAAAGCATGTTGAAGCTCTTTTTTTAAGTTTGCTGCACAATATTTAGAGAAGCCTGTGAAATCCTGGGAGAATATATTCTGGTCAGATGAGACCAGAATGGAACTCTTTGGATGCCATAATACACACCATGTGTGGAGGTCAAATGGCACTGCACATCACCCCAAAAACACCATCCCAACAGCGAAGCATGAAGGTGGGACCATCATGGTGTGAGGCTGTTTTTCAGCATACGGTACTGGCAAACGTAATCTCATTAAAGGAAGGATGAATGGAAAAATGTACCAAGACATTCTTCATAAAAAATCTGATGCCATCTACCAGGATGATGAAGATGAAACGAGGGTGGACATTTTTGCAAGACAATAATCCCCAAACACAAAGCCAAGGAAACTCAATTGGTTTCAAAGAAAGAAAATAAAATAAAGATTCTAGAATGGCCCAGCCAATCACCTGACTTGAATCCAATAGAAAATCTATGGGAAGTACTTAAGATCAGAGTTCATAGAAAAGGCCCACGGAACCTTCAATATTTGAATATGGTGTGTGGAAGAATGGGCCAAAATCATACCTGAGCAATGCATGCCACTAGTTTCTTCATACAGGAGGCGTCTTCAAGCTGTCATTACCAACAAATGATTTTGTACAAAGTATTAAATACATTTCAGTCAGCGTGTTCAATGCTTTTTCCCTGTGTCATTCCATTTTATATATATATATATATATATATATTTTATATACACATAACTTAATTTCTGAACTTATTTGTTTTGGTTTCTTTGTATGTATGGATTGCATGGGTTCTTACCGACATGTGGTGAAAATATCATGTCAATGGCACCTTTAGAAATATGTTTACTGAGAAAAATGGTGACGTGTTCAATACTTATTTTACCCGCTGATAAGTGTGTTGGTTTGGAGTACCTCGACTTTAAATCTTACAGTGTAGATCAGTGGTCTCCAAACTGTGGCCTACAGACCAGATGTTGCCCTTTGCTTGCCTTTATCCGGCCCTTGGCACACTATTTCTCCCACTGATATGAGGCACTATACCTCCCACTGACACCAATGATGAGGCACTATTCCTTCTACTGACACCGAAGCTGTGGTACAATTCCGCCCATTGACACCAAT